AGGCTACTACCTGTATTAAAAATTGAAAGAGCCGAGATGACTTAGGTAAAGACTGTTTGAGTTAATAAGAAATTATAGAAGCGATTCATTTTTGAAAGTGACTGTACAGAGTTTTGAGGGTAAAAGACAAATTGGAATGACGTCATTACTGATTGGCAATCTGATGAGTTGTGAGTCATGATGGTGATAATTAATGACACATTGCTTCATTAAATTGGTGGATGGAAATTATCTTGATGCATACTTTGGCTAAAAAAGAGTCATTTTTGTGAATCAATTCAAGATTGTTTTCTCCCCCATATCTGTGGCACTGACTTTGTTCATTTTGTTCTGAATTAGGTATGATGCAGAAGTCGCATATTTTGATGAAGGTGTTAGATCTTCAAAGCGAAAGATGCTAGAAGAAAAATTGCTTCAAGTAATAATACACTCCATATTCTTGTCCAGTATTTATTGTTATTTAAATTTTCTCAACTCGATTTTTGTCTTTTGATTTAGCTTGTCCAACCAGCCTACAATTCCATGCTAGGACATTTAAGGTCTGGAACTCTTGAGAAATTTAAGGAAGCATTTGAAAAGGCTTTGAATGATGGAGAGGGATTTTCTGTGTCCGCTCGCAACTGCACTGAATCTTGCATGGCTTTGTTTGATGAAGGATATGAGGGTATGGTTGAACTTGAACTATTCTCTTGGCATTAAAACAAAGAAACAAAACTGCAAAACACAAGTTCAACAGCTATGAAGTGAAAAAATAGAAAAGAAATCATTAAAGTGGTCTGTGTAGTAACGAAGTATTCAAATTAGATGAAATTATTTTTTAACACATTGCTGTGGATTCAAACTTTAAAAAATGAGACTGCGTATATTGCTTGCATTTAATTGGTTTGTTATTATAGTTGTTTGTCAACCTACGGTTTCTTTGCTCAATAAGATAGTGACTGAGAAGCTTGACTTCATTTTTCAGATGCTGTTGTTGAACTATCAAATTGGGATTCCTCTAAAGTCAGGGATAAGCTCCATCGTGATATTGATGCGCATGTAGGTTCTGTCCGAGTCGCCAAACTTTCAGAGCTGACCTCATCATATGAGGTATGGAAATTTCTTTCCCTTCTAATCATTTAGTCAAGTGATTGTCCTCATGATTATCGAGAATTCTATTATTTCCAGATTACTTGTTTTTTTGTAAGACATACCAATGAATCAGTATTATGAAAAGTAGCCTAACAAAATTTTAGAGAAGGAATTTGTGTATCATTTTCACTTTTTTTGCTGGGTTGCAAGGAGACAAGGTGTTTTGAAGTTGATACAGTGATGTTATGACATTTGTTTTCTTGGTCTTGCTGGTTGCTGAAATTTTCGACTTGTTGGATGTGTTACTTAAAAAATAATTTTAGCCCAATTAATTAAGATGTCATGTTCAGCTAGTTTGTCGATATTGTACTGTGTTTCTACACATTGAAATTTTTACAACGTTGGACACAATGTAAATTGCTCTAGGAATATTGAAGCCCAATTAACTTAGATGTGATTGTTACACAGTTGGGTTATTACTTATTAAAACTAAACTTTACGGGCATGCAGTCTTGGTTTGAATAAGAAAGGTCATTTTGTAGTTCATTTTTTAATGAACATGACTTTTGGCCCTTTGGTGTTATTTTTCGTCTGACACAATATGGTAAACAGTATTCATTCATATGTGATTACTCTTAATTTTCTGTTTGACTTCTATGATGGCGACAACCACAACACATGTTTATAAACGTTTAAAGCATCACTTGTAATCATACTGAAAATTATGGTGCATCTGCAGGCAAAGATGAACGAAGCATTATCAGGACCTGTTGAAGCTCTTTTAGATGGTGCTAATGATGGTACATGGCCCTCAATAAAGAAACTTCTCCAGCGCGAAACTGAATCAGCTGTTTCTGGACTCTGCAGTGCTCTTTCGGGTTTTGACATGGATGAAAAAGAAAAGGAGAAGATGTTAATGAGATTAGAGGATTATGCAAGAGGTGTGGTTGAAACAAAAACAAGGGAAGAGGCTGGAAGGGCACTGATCCATATGAAGGACCGGTAATAGCACATTTAAATGTTTGAATTAAAGCGTTTGATTTTTTAGACTTTATGTATCTCCAAAATTAACATAATATTTATGCAGGTTTTCAACATTGTTTAGTCATGATTCTGATTCAATGCCACGGGTTTGGACTGGGAAGGAAGATATCCGAGCCATCACTAAAACAGCTCGTTCTGCAGTATGTTTGTGTACTATCATTTTTTTCCGCTTAAGAATTATCCTACTTTTTATTCTCTGCTAAACTTGTTTATTTTCTGTTGCCAGTCCTTAAAATTGCTAGCTGTTATGGCTGCAATCCGGTTGGATGACAATGTTGATAATATCGAGAATACTCTAGCATCCGCCTTGTTGGATACAAAAAATAATGCTGTTGCAACTGATAGGAGCATTACAACATTTGATCCACTAGCCTCAAGCACTTGGGAGCAGGTAATGTGTTCTTGCGGAGGATGGTTATGAGATTTATATGAACTATAGAAATTGCTGGACCATTGCATGCTATTTGCCGTCATTTCTATTCCTCCCATGGATTATACAAAGAAAGGCACAGTTGTCTAGGTTTGTCTGACAATTTTTGCCATGAATGCAAAATTTGTTTGGCATTAACCTTCTAAATCTGTAATGCTGAAACAACCCCAGGGTTTTGTTGTATGTGTTTCCCTCTAATGCTGGGATTTCATCCTTTTGAACATGTATTATGTGATTTAATCTTATGTCTGTTAATTTTTGGTATAGGTTCCCCCTGCTAAGACACTGATCACACCTGTTCAGTGCAAGTCTTTGTGGCGGCAATTCAGGGCTGAGACAGAGTACACTGTCACTCAGGCCATTTCTGCACAGGCATGAACGTCAAAAATTCTAATTATATTGTTCATGAATTGTCACTGCATTATGTTAACTAATGTCGCAGAAATTCTGTCGTGTTTCCCTAACTTTTCACATGCACCACCCCTTTGTAGCATATACATTATTAATGTCGAGTTCTATTCACTGGAATTTGAAGTTTATATTTTGGTCTATGTAGTCGTGTTATTGCTTGATATATGTAATCTCATTTTTTTACTCGATTTTTCTTCTACTTTCAGGAAGCAAACAAGCGTAACAACAACTGGCTGCCACCTCCATGGGCAATTGTTGCCTTGATAGTCTTGGGTTTTAATGAATTTATGACTCTTCTAAGGTGCATGTTGCATTTGTATCATTGAATTTATTTTGGTTGGGTATTCAATGATATCATTTATCCTTGTCCGTGTTTGGTGCTTGCTTAAGGAATCGTCTCTTTGCAGGAATCCTTTATATCTGGGTGCCATCTTCGTGGGTTTCCTTATTGTTAAGGCTCTGTGGGTGCAGCTTGACATTTCGGGCGAATTCCGCAATGGTGCTGTGAGTATCAAACTAAAATTCTCTCTTGTTTATGTGAGCATTTATCCGTATCATTGATGGCAGTCCGTAGTTCACATAAACAAACCATTAAAGACTATTTCGACTATAATCGTGATTACGCAGTTTTACTTGCTTTGATCGGATGACTAATTTACAACTTTTAATGCCTGCAGCTACCCGGGCTTCTTTCCGTATCTACCAAATTCCTTCCCACCGTGATGAATCTTCTCAAAAAGTTAGCTGAGGAGGGGAAAATGCCTGCAACAAACAATTCTCAGGCAAACCAATCTGTAGCATCTAAGAGCTTCCAAAACGGAAGCACCAGAAGCAATACGTCATTGAGTGCTTCGTCCGGTATAACTGCATCAGGAAACGGGAACGAATGCTCCAGCCCCGTGAAAGAAGAATGAATAACTTATTAGAAAAGGAACAACATTATCTGTGCTATGAAGATGCACGTGTTGTGCCCGCTTTCATGGTTGGGTGTTTTGCCACTGTTTGAATGGTTCCATATACAACTCTTCCAAGAATGTGAAGAGTTAGCATAGTTTGAAAAGGCATTTATTTTTGTGCAAGTGCCCCATACAAGGGGGGTCGCTTTCTTGCGACGGAGCCCCATTGAATAGGCCTTTTCGCCCTTTGTTATTCTTCCGTCGAGGCTTAATCTTTGTATTGTTTGTTGGCCAAGTTACAGGTTCTTTGGTTTATTTTACTTTGCGTCTATGGGCTTTTTGTTACGCTTGTAACGCCATTGACGATTGTATGCAGCAATGGAGGTTTGGTTGAACTGGTATGTAAGTTCCGACATGAGTTTCGATACTTCTAGAATATAAGTTTTTGAAACCTCAATCAAGAGTTTTGACTCTTGTTGTGGTATCGATACTAGAATTTCCAAACTCTAGAGCTGCAAATCCAAATTGACCAATTCGTACATTACAAACACACACCAATAAGCCTCCATTCAGTACTAACATGCCAAAAGATTTATGTCAACATTAATTACACATCATTCCACCATTAACATCATGCCAAAAGATACATTATGTCGTATGTGATTGGGCATTAGTTTTGGCACCGGAGAGTTACCTTATTTTGAGTCTTGTGCATTGGCTTATAGGAGATAAGTTGCGTTCATCGTCTTATATCCCATTCTCCAGGTTAGTGAAGCAATAATAAAATAACAAATAATAAACATATTTCATTTTATAAAAAAAATTAGGTACATGATTCCAATTCCCAAGCATTATTACTTAATTTTAATATCTTCAACCTTATTTCATATAATTTTGTTGTCAACGTGTAATGATGATTGTAGGGTACATGTACATTGTCAATAAATTTAAAATTTTGTTAAAATATATTATTATGTAATTATCCCAGTTTTTTTTTTAAAAAAAATCTTTTATCTCTTTATTATAAAAGACAATAATTTGAAGATAGAATTTTGAAATTTGATGTGTAGAAAAGACGAGAGTGAAGCTTGGAAAAGAATTGTTTGAAATGATTCTTAACAAATGTATACATATGCTAAGCGTAAGTAAAATGAAAGCCACATAATAGATCAAAACTTTATTGTGCATTTCTGTCGTGCATTTATTATTCTGCTTTATATTATATATAAAATGATCAGAAGATGAACACAAATTTAATTATTAAGATGACATAACTAATTGTGTGGATGGGACAAACCTCCTTTCGACTAGTTCATCGTTTTCAAACTTCATCTCATGTCTTTCGCAAGGAATCCCAAGATCGGACTTAACTTCTTCATGACGATCATCGCAATATTCGATAAAAGTCTGCTTGATATTCAAAGACGACATTGCCGTAGTTGATTCTTGTATGCCCCATGAATGATCATAAGTTGTTTCTTGCTGTAACTGATGTTGGTTGTTGTTGTTGTTGTTGTTATTGATATGATCACTTAAACCGAATTGCTTCTCCTGGGGTTCTTGAACGTAATAGAAATTCGAGTTATACGAGTTCAACAAATCCAGGTTCACCAATTCACAGCCTAGAGTCGAATCACACCCAGATTCTTGCATTTGCTGCTGGTGAGCGACCTGTGCACGGCATATAGCTAGCTGGTGCAAAACCAGGTCTAGCTCGGCCTGGCTGTACTCGATCTGACGCTGGAGCTCTTGGATGATCCTGTAACAGCCGCCGACAGGATCATTGGCTCGAGCATCGGATTGAAACACGATGGTGTGCATGGCGATGTCTTTCTCGGGGGGATTGAGGTGCCTGATGATCTTGGTAATGTTGCTGACACCGAACAATTTATGGGCGTTTTGGAACTGTCTTTGACGATCGTGAGGAAAATAAGGGGCGAGAATGCAGTCAGGAGCGCACTTCCTGCGTTGGTATCTGCATGCAGCGCAAGCTTGGGTTGTGCTGTTACTACCACTTCTTGAAATGCTCATATTTGGTTTTTCCCCTGTGAGATATCGGATGCGTTGCCGCCGGGGATGGTGCAGTTTTGTTTTTAAATGTTTGTTTCCTTTGTTTTCTCACGAGGGAGGGGAAAATGGGAGATGCAGAGAAATGAATGATATATGAGAATATCAAAGAGAAATCGTCAAGACGAGACTTAACCAATTTCTGTTAGTGAATGGGTATTTTTGGGGGTGTTTTAATTGGTCTTTTTTACAAGCCGGCTTGCACCCACCTTCAACCTAAAATAGATTCATTCCTTTACCTATTTTCTTGGCCTTTTTTTAACTCAATGAAGGAATCTCTTCTTTTTATTATTTAAATACTTTCAATGACAAATTCAAATTTATGCTCCAACATATTTTTGTTAATTTAACGATGCATACATATTCCGGAGATACAATTATTCGAGCTTAAACTTTTTGAAAAGAGTAATATAATTTCTAATCACTAAAACTACTGAACGAGTTTCGGTACATATATTCAAATTGACCTATGTGGGTTTTCTTCCTTTAATTTCTTGTAAAGGCTCACACAATACTTTTTCTTATGATGGGCTAATCATACATTTCTTTGATATCATAAACAGCTATATATCCAATGACAAAAAGAAAGGGAGACAGATTTTTCTTAAAATAAATTAATAATTTATGCACAAACATGCTTTCCCTTTAGCACTACTATACACCTTTCTGGATTAAAAACAAACTACTATACACCTTTTGAGCAATTATTATGGAACCTTTTTGGGTGTTGTTGGTATAATCTATAGCGGAGACTTTTTCAGGGATGTCTCAAATACGGTAATCTTAATATACGATTAAGAAAATGTGTTACTGGAAATATTATTATTATTTTAACATTTTCGGTAAAGCGTTGTTTAAAATATTATTTTTTATCGAAAGTGTTATTATTGGGCTTAAACTAAAATATTTAACATTTCCGGTAAAGCACTACCTAAAACGTTATTTTTTCTACCAGAAATGTTAATATTGAGTTCTACCGGAAATTAGTTAGCGAAAATAACATTTTCGGTAGAAAAATAATGTTTTAGGTAGCGCTTTATCGAAAATGTTAAAAAAATAATAATGTTTCCGATAGCGTCTTTCTTTAACTGTATATTAAGGTTGTCGTACAATAAAACTATCAGATTTTTTCAGTTTGAATTTACAAATCCAATAGAAAGGGAGGGAGAGGTAAAGAACCAAAGAAATAGAGTGGAGCAACTAGAGGAAATGTATATATATACTAATATTAAGTATTTAATTAAATTTAGTGTTATAAGTTGAATAACACCCATTCAATTATTAGATCTATTAAAAATATTTTACTCACTAAAAATATTTTAATCAAATAAAAATATGCTAACAATAGTTGTAGTTTAAGTTATTATATATTAAAAAGGGTGAAGGGATCTTATATCATATTCTTAAAAAATTAAAGGGCTAAATCCTTAAATTGGATACCATGTTTTAAAGTTAGTTAAAATAAGTCCTTTTTTATACATTAGTTTGGGATGATTACAAGGTAGTATATATTCAAAAATTTTCTTAGTCTATTGACAACGGAACACATCCTGCAGATGCAGCTGCTCGATAGAAGATAAATTTTACATCTTCTGAAAAGAATAACATTTCCTTTTACCACTTAAACCGCTCAAACAAAAGGGTTATAAAGTATTTATCATGCACACATAAGATTAATTATGTCTGGTGCCCTTGAATTATAGCTTAGATTCTAAATTAGTCCTAAACTGTTTGACATTTTAAGTAATGCAAAATAGTATTATTTGAATAATTAAAATATATAAATTATTCTTAAAAATTTAAATAGAACCATAATAAATAAAAATTAAAAATTCTATAATGTTTAAAAATAAATATAATGATTAATCGATATCATTTTAATTAAAGTGAATGTACATAGTCAGGGATAGACCGAGGGGCTGTTGGGGTGTGATCATATCCCCTATAAACTTTAAATTCAATTATATTTTAGATTTTTCTTTGTATTTTCTATTAATTATCTTATTTCACACTAATTTTTTTTTATAATTTTGCACTCCCTAAAATTTTAATATAGCTTCTTAAATTCTCATATTTTGAAGAATTGCACCCCTAACAGAAGTTCATGCGTCTGTAACATAATTCTAACTCTCATATATTATGATCAAAACTTAAACGTATAAATTATATTTATCTTACTTTGAGAGAGTGTTTAGATAATTGCTTAAATATAAACTTAAACATTCGCATAAACTAAGCAAGTATATTTAGTTGGGTGATCAATGTGCTCATTTTGGTTCTGTCATATTTTCTTTTGTCATGAGTTCTAGGCTCACTAAGAGCACTCCCCTTTCTTTCCATAGAGTCCCCTATTTCACTCTTCTTTAGGTAGGATTAAAATTAGATTTAAAACTCATAAAAATCACCTAAATCATATTTTATCACCTTTATTGAATTAGGATTAGGATTAGATTTAAATTTTATAATATATATATAAAAGAATTGATTTTGGTAATTTATTTAAATAAGAAATAAATTTAAATAGTTTAAAATAAAAAATCATATAAATAGTATGTCAAAAATAAAATAATAACAAATTAATATGTTAAATTTAGAGTAGTTATTTGATGGATTGATATTTGAGAATTTTCACTTTATAAATAAAATTAAAAAGTCAATATATAGTCTTAATTGATATTAAAAAACTTGAAAATAAATTAAAAAATTATGCACAATGCACAATGAGAATTCTTTTATTACCATATTTGAAAATTTTAATATTATTGTAACTGTGATCTAAAAAGTTGTGAAAAATGTTTTCTTTTCTAAACTTTATATAAAAATGTATTTTAATATGTAGAGAGACAAATAAAAGGGATCCTTCCTCGGGATTGAATCCCACTTGCACCCACACACCAGCAACCAACACAACCGTTTATCTTTTCATTTTCAGTAATATATATATATATATATTATCTTGTATTTATCCTATATTTGTTATTCTCCGGATAAAACCAGATAAAAAAAGAAACGTAACCGTTTTTTGTTTAAGAGATTTATTATTCTTCGTAGAGGTGAGATCCTGAGTGTGAGTACTCATAGAGGTACTGGTGTTAATTGTCAATTGATTGAGAATCTTTAAACATATACTATCTTGTATTTATCCTATATTTATATAAAAAAAATATTATTATCACATGGTATATTACATTTCTGTTACATATTAATTAAATTATTGAAATTTTAAAATTAAATTATTAGCCACATTATCAATTTTAAAGAATTATTTTATATCATCATGTTAATTAAAAAATTAAATTAACTTTTTTTGAAATAAAATATAATTATATATAAAAAATTAAAAACATAATTAATTTAATGTTTAAAGAAATTAAAGACTTGACAAACCATTAAGCTCAAGGGTGGATACACTTGACCCCGTACAAGATCAAATATATACCTATTATTTTGAATAAACTATTAATTATAGTTTAATATATTAAAAAATAAAAAATAAAAAATAAAAAGAAATGTTGTAGTTTCATTTTATTAAAAGAAAGAGTACTAAAGTTTTTGGACACCATCTTCTAATGTTTAAGTTTTAGGGTCGTTAGGTAATACTTTTTAAAAGTACTTTTAATTTAAAAAAAAGTTTGTTTTAATCACAAAATTAATGTCAAACGGGTAAAAATGAAAAAAACAATTACGATGGAAACGATGGTTTCAAACTAACTGCAAAAGCTATGATTTATAGTTTTTATTTTATTTTTAACTTTACATTTAGAAACAAATTATAAATTTGCCTTTACTAATTCATGAGCTCCACTCGATTATGCATTTATATTTCATTTTAATAATTATACTAACATCTTTGAAAAATAATTCATTAATTTTAATAATTTATTTTAATTATTTAAAAACAAATGAAATTCGTGATTTATTTATTAAAATATTAATAACGAGTTACATAAAATATATTTTTATGATTATATTTTTCATTTGTATTTTAGATTGATATAATTCGTGCATAATAATAATTTTTTAAATTTACTATAGTTTAAATTGATATGATTCATATATATATATATAAGAGTGTAACTATAATTTAAATGTTATACTTTAATTTACAACGTAATATTTATAATAGTCATTCTATTTTTTTAAACTCACTTTTTAATAATAATTCCAAATAATTAAATTTTAAATTAAATTTTTTAAATTTCATTTTTACAATACTTTTAAAAGTAACTTTTTAAAACTACACCAAACTTGTTCTTAATCAAATCAATGAAATTCAAAATAATTTTCACTTCGTGCATTTGATAATTGTGGAGATAAGGACAATATAGATAATTGTTAATCAAAATAAAATTAAAAAGGAAATAATAGTGTATTTCACTTCTTCATTGCTTTTCAGCTTAATTTTCAAATTTTAATCATTGGTAGTGATATTTATAATTTATAAGTAAATTATATATCCGTTTCACTAAAATTGTTTTATTTTTTTATAGTTATTTGATAGTAATCATTTTAAATAATTAAAATTTATAAAATATATTTAAAATTACTTGATTAAAGGTTTTCAAAATATATTTTATATATTTCATTATTAATAAAAAATTTAAATAATAAAAAGTAAAATTATTTTTTTGAAAAATTAACAATAGATAATTTTAGTGGGAGGGCCTATAATTTATACAAAGCCTAGCATTGAAAAATCACCTAACCAAAATGCAAACCTAACTAAATCCATAGTTTGGATGTCATATTCATCTTGAAGTTGCTTTCGTTTATTCTTATTATAACATTCAACCAATGTTTATGCTATTCAACTTTGAATTCATTTGCATGCCAGGCTTTATATAAAGGAAAAAGTATATATATATATATGAAGATTATACGACGTTAAATTTGAAAGAAAAGGGAAAAATATAACATATGTAATTAAGGAAGTTGATTTTCATAGGTCTTTCCCTTTGGGAAGAATGTAGCAAAAGTAGAAGGGAGAACTTGAACTAAGAAAGAAACAGTATTTGCTATATTACCTAACCTTGCGGTGGTTTCTGGGTTTGGTTGCGTTGTTGTTCATGGGAAGTGTTGATGCAGTTATTAAGACCAGCAATGTTGAGAATACCGTCGTGAGAGAGAGCTCTAAGACCCAAGAAATCTCTTGTCAAGCCTTCGCCTTGAGAATTACTTGTACCGCCAGTAGTTTCATGATCATTTCTAGCTGATCTTGTTGTTGCTGTTGGTGTAGTTGTTTTCGAGAATGGTTCATCGATGAAACCGCCACCAGGCTTTGCGTTGAAGATCCTGGAAAATGATATATCATCGAACGGAACCGAATCGAATCCAGCGGCAGACGGCAAAGAATTCCTCATGTGTTGAAGTGGAGCAAAGTTGAGGCCAAAACCAGCAACTGCTGGTGTAGCAGTGGTAGCTGGTGCCGATGATGAGCTAGTTTTGGTGCTCATGGTTGCGCCCATCTGAGCTGCTTTCTGAAGTAATGCAGTAGCCGACATGTGCGGTGAAGGCACTGTTGTTGTTGGATGGAAAGGAGGAAGGGTGGGGTTAGGGTTATGGTTTTCATTGACTGATAAATCATGGTACTGTGATTGTGTGAATTCTTGATGATAATCTAATGTTGCGGACAAGATTGACGATGATGAAGGGGAAAGGTCAATCGTCTTGGGTGGACCAAGATTAGTCCCAAGCACTGGTTGGGTGACGAACCATGGAGGAATCTCTGGCCTTACAGATGTGTAAATTTGTTGCTCTTTTTTAAGTGAAAATGCTCGGATATCTTGGGGATTGAGCTGAGCAGCTGCATCAGGTGGTTCAAGTGGGTTAGCCCTGGCACTCTCCTCTGTTAAGGCATCACAGAAGGCTCTGTGAGTGATGAAACTATCCCTCCTGGAGAAGATAGTCCCACAGTCGCATCTGTATTCTCTAGTGCCACAGGTCTTGGAGTGAGCTTTCCAATCCGATTGAACCGCATACTTTTTGGAACACTTTTCACATTTCCACTTCTTCTCACCATGTTTCCTGAAGAAATGCTTCTTGATTCCAGTCAAGTCACCAAGCGCCCTTGATGGGTCATGGTGCACGCAGCTGGGTTCAGGACACACATACACTTTCTTCCTCACCTCTTTACTCGTTCTTTGCTTTAGCTTCCATGGCAAATTATGACTTCTTCTATGAAGCTGAAGGTTCTGGTCTCTTTGAAACCCTTTGCCGCAGATCTCACACATGAATCTGTTTGTGGCCATCAGTGTTTTAGGGGACAAAGCTATTACTTCTGCATCTGGGTCTGGTTCAAGTCAAACATGGACAATTTTTAAAGAATGAAAACAAAAGTGAAAAAGGGCTTGAAGACTGAAGCAAAACCAACCTGGGTTGCCTGGGAGGTTTCTCTTTCTCTTAGCCAGCTGAGTTTGAGTTGGTGGAGTAGCGAAGTATCCAATTTCACTTCTATTCCCTGAAGAAACACTTGCCTCACCAGATGCAGATGTCAAATTAGACATATTCTCTTCCAAAACTTGCAGCTTTTGTTGTTGTTGGTGGAATAACAAGCCTGTCATCATCTTTACTTCTCAAGTGATAAAAAAGATTGATACTTTGATAACTGATATATACTCAAGTAGCTAAGCTTAACTCATATGAACAATACCATGATATTCATCATACATGTATGTATGTATGTATTGAAATTGAGTAAGAAGAAGAAGAACTAAGAAAAAAAGAAGACTCAGTTCATGATAAAACTTAGATAAAGAGACAGAGAGAGAGAGTTGGATGAAAGGAGATTCCTCTGTAATCTTGAAGCAGACCAAAAACAACTAGCCAGAACCACAAAACTAATTGGGGGGGGGGGGGGAACCCTACGGGGATAACTATGACGTTGCACTTTCTGTCTTTTCCTTTGTTCTCTTCCCGTCCTCAGCCATAAAAAACGTTTCTTTCTTTCTTTCTTTATTGTCCATTTGCCTTTAACAAAGCTTCCTTTTTAAATTTCTTTTGGGCGAACTACACATTTCATATCTAAACTATCAGTTTTACTCCGTTTTCATATTTAAACTTTTAATTTTTTTTAAAACTTAATGTTAAATTTTGAACGGTATATTAAAATGAAACAAAAATTAAATTTTAGGTATGATTTTTAAAAAAAATTAAAAGTTTAAATATTAAAATAAACTAAAATTAATAGTTTACATATTAAATACGTAATTTATCCATTTCTTTTTTACCACTAATATATACCTTGGTTCAATCTGCCACTTTTCCCCAACTCTCAAGTCTCAACAAGCAAAAGAGAAATAAATAAAGCTATACTACTTCTATTTTCTACCATCTTTTTATTTTTGAGGAAATTACATAAATAGTCATTAAATTATATTGAAATAATTTTTGACCATTAAAGTTTCATAAGATACAAAATGATCATTCGAATTATCGAACTGTTTCAAAATAGTCATTGCACGTTATACAATAGAGATAAATTCCGATAAGTTTAAGGATCATTTTGTAATATTTTGATAAGGTTTAATGATCATCTTATAATAACCTAATAAATTCAATGATCGTTTCATAATTTTTAAAATTTTAGTAGTCAAAATGATTATTTCGACATAGTTTATCGACTATTTATATGCTTTGCCCTTTATTTTTTACCCATAGATCTTGGGGTGGTAAACCTTTCTTTTAACTTTCTACATTTGAGAGTGACATGATTGACCCATTGATTAAATTTATAATAGGCGTAGCTAAAAGTTATGTCCACTTACATTTCTTTTCTACTTTTTATGCTTCATTTCACTGCAACTTTACACATTGTTTTACTTTACATGCATGTATGCAAGTATGAAGAGTTAGTTGAAACCTCGGACACTTGAATTTTGTTACTCAAATTTTCCTTGTAAAACGAATCATCATTAAACTAAACATAATTAATGCGTTAGTGCAAGAAGAAGACCTAATTCCAGCTATGCTCATAATTGTGGAGGTTAATTGATAATCATAGACCATATTATAATGATATGTCTAACACACCATGGTTGTCAATTTCGGAAACTAATGCAAAGCAAATACCAATTATTAGGCCTTTAAACGAATTATTTGACCTGCTTAATAATAATTACACCACCGGTCTAGACTTTAAAGGTTGATTAAATGTATCTGACCAGATCATGAACTTGATTAGTTGAGTAACAACCAAATTTAGCATCAATGTCCAACTTATCATCTTTCATATTTTTTTTTTGGAGGAAAAGCATAAATGGGTCAACTAATAAAAATTAGGGTAAAATAGACAAATGGTCCTCCGACTATAGGGTACTACTTTATTAAGTTCATCAACTTTTGAAACTAATAAAATGATCCTCCGACTATAGAATGTTGTTTTGTTGAGTCCCCGACTATTAAAAGTTGCAAAATGGTCACCTGACTATTCATTATGTTCCGAACTCGTAATTTTTATTAAAAATATTGGTAGTTGTTTAAGTTGGACGTAAACATGATGATTGAGACATGATATTCGTTTGAGATTATTGGATCAAATTTTATTATATTATAGTTAACAGGTTAACGTCCAAATCAGAATACCGTCCATTTTTTAATGGAAAATGATGAGTTTGGAACATAATGGATAGTCCGGTGACCATTTTGTAACTTTTAATAGTTGAGGGACTTAATAAAGCAACAATCTATATTCGGAGGACTATTTTATAACTTTAAATAGTTGAGAGACTTAATAAAGCGATATCTTATAGTCGGTGACCATTTGTTTACTTTACCTTAAAAATTGAGTTAAACTTTTGAAAATTGTTTTGCCCTTATCCCAATTTAACAAAATAATTCCTCAAACAAACTTAGAATACACACACGTTTCTTAAAAGAAATAGTTTGAGGACATAATCGGTATTGAGTTAGTATTATTCTATTGACGGTGTGTAGATCAGTAGTCCTTTTAATTAAATGGATAAATTACTTCAGACACCATTAAACTTTAGGTTTAATATCAATTTTATCATTGATTTAAAAATCAATATAAATGTAATACTAAATTTAGTTTTAACTTCAGCTATAGCAATGAATCATTAAAAAATCATTTATTCTCTCTGCATCCTCACCAATCTTTTCTCTAAACAGAAAATTTGTAGTATAGTCTAAAATTGAAGAACTTCATGAGAAGGAAATGATGTATTAAACAATATTAAAAGGCTCATTAACAGTCAGCAGTCCACAATTTTAAAAATACAGTCAGCACTTAATATTTAACTCAGAAAGTTCATCAATAACTCGAAAAAAATAACATATTAAATTTTTTATTTTTTAAAATTAAATTGTTATGAATATTAATATTTATATGTTATATTATAAAAACAATACGAGGTTTTTGATATGCGCTCGCTAGGGATGGGCATGGGTCGGATCCACCCGACCCGACTCGAGAACAAATGATCCTCCACCCTAGACCCGACTCGACCCGACCAAAATAAAATTTCACCCGACCCGACATATAACTTAGAAACCCGACCCGACCCGACCCGAATAATAATAAAATATTATTATTTTTAATAAAAATAATGACTTAATTGAAAAAAATTATATATAGAGGGATATTATTGTAATTATTCCTAAATATATAAGATAAAATTATATATTTTTTCGGGTCGAATATTTTCACCCTAAACCCGAACTCGACCCGAACGTCACACTTAAAAAAATCCGACCCGACCTGATCCAAACCCGATATTTTTTAAAAATTAAACCCGATCGAATCAGGTCAGAACCCATCGAATTCGGGGGTCTTATGCCCATCCCTAGCGCTCGCCCTTCAAATATGAAATCGGGACGTCTGTACTCTCAATTGAATTAAGATGAGGCGAGCAAAAAGAATTTCGAATTAGAATTTAATTTGAAGTGGCACAAAAGGATAGAATTTAATTGAAGGATTTGATAAATATGAAAGTTTGACAAAAGTAGCCCACACCTTATGATTGGGAAATGAGTGGGCCCTGACAAATCTCTGACCACCAGATCATGCGGTATAATCCGTTTAGCTAATCAAAATCTTACACGTGGAAGATAAGATAAATAATATTCCTTGACAATATCCAAAGATGGTTGGAAGGAATATGAGCGCAGCGGCAGCATTTCTCGGTTTCAGAAATAGTTAGTTACCCGTGAAATGCTCGTACGGTGGACCCTCATTACTACACGCGGCTGCTCATGATTGGATGGCATTTTGCAAACGCCTCAAGAGGCGGCAAAATTTCCTTCACTTTCTTCACAATTCACATCCATCTCCCATCGATTCCATATTAGGGTAAAGTACATTAATGATCCCTAAACTAGGATAAATTACTGTTTCAGCCTCTCAATTATTTTCTATTTTGAAATCACATCTAATATTACTTTTCATTTATATTTTACTACTCACGGTTAAAAAATTAATAGTAATGCTAATGTGATATTAATATTATTATTTAATTTCCATATCATTGTATCTTTCATGGTCAGTAATCCAATGATATTTTAAGGCTTAATTTAAAGATAATGACACAAATTATACTCAAAATTAACTTTTAGTGCCTAATTTTTTTTGTTAATCTAACATTTTTTTGTTACACTTTTAGGTGTCTAACGTTAAAAAATCATTAAGTGACATGTGCCACGTTTAGATTTAAAAAATATTTTTAAGCAATATTTTGTTTTAAAAATCAAAAAATATAAAAGTGACACGTGACATTTAATGATTTTTTAACGGTAAACACCTAAAAGTGTAACGGAAAAAATATTATGCACCTATTTTTAATGAAAAAAAATTTTATGTACCAAAAGTTAACTTTAGATATAGTTTCGACTCTTACTTTTGCATTAAGCCTATTTTTAATGATTTTATTCAATCAATAAGAGAATGACATGTGTAAGAAAAAATGAATTAAAAATTCCACTAAATTATCGGTGATGAAAGAGAAAACAACATGCAACAAAAATTATAATAAATGTTATATCAACATCGCCATTAATTTTTTAACGAAAAATAATTATAATATAAATATAAAATTATATATAATTAAAAAATAGTTAAGTGACAAAAACATAAATACAAAAACAGATGTGAGACTAAATAAATAGTTTACCCTTAATCTTTATTATAAAGTTGCTTTTTATATTTATATATAACCTTTAAATAAAAAAACTAAAATCCATTACTTAAATTTAAGTGCGAAATCAATAAGTCCTATACAAATCTTTTACCACTTGAACTATAATTCTTAATTAATTTTCAAAAATAATTTTTTATATAAAATATTATATTCGTTAGTATTATAAGTGTAGAAAAATCTAATCCATTTAAAAAAAATTAAACCAAAACATTTTGGGTTTGGAAGTTTGAAATATAGTAAAGGAACTTCCTAAAATTTAGGCAGAACAATAATCATTTCAGTGTGTCAACCAACAATAGAATCTTCTCTAAAATTTTGTTGGATATTTTCGAGCCTAATATTAGTTAATTCTTTTCTAATAATTTAGAGTGATAATAAAATAATATATATTAAAAAAAATAACTTATTAATAACGTATGCA